CCCCGGCCCCGCGTCCCTGCGGCCCCGGGAGTCGCCCGGACGAGCACGAAGCGCATTCAGGAAGAGCCCTGGGGCTGCCAGCCAGTCCTCTTCCCGCTTTCTATCAACGGGGCAGCTGCATCGGTTCATTAAATGGCTTTGTTCTGTAGCAAATACGGTGTAAAATCTGCTTTCCCAGCAGTGTTTTTTATTTGTCATGAATCAAAAAACAAGACTGCCTTGAAATAAACATTGTTTCTTGTCTAAAAGGGAAGATACAATTCTAATGCACGTTTTAACGTTTAATAGAATCATTCTACTATTTATAGAACAGGAAAATGGACTTCTATAATTTTTAAATGCCCATTACACTTTTCAATTGTAATTTCATATTGGCATGCTTAAGTTAAATTGTTTCTGAAGATGGATTTTATTCTAGAAACATCACTTTCTCCATTTTTTTTTTTCCCCACTTGTAGCGGGATCTTTGATGACCACAAAGCATTCACAGCCGCAGTCTACGTTTGCAAAAAGTCTAACTTCAACAAGTACAAATACTCCTTATTTTAAAGCAGCAGGTACAATGTTATGTTGTTTCTTTTGTTTTTCTTCTATGGGCCTTTTTCCTCAGCGTCTTAATAGTAAAGTTCTTGAATTATGTTGTAGAAACCTGTATGTGCTTTCACAGTGGAAAAAGACATTATAGTATAGCACATTATGAATTACTCTTCAGTGACCATAACAATTAGTTTGGATTATATGACTAGAACATCGGTCCGTGTAAGATCTAACAATTAGAAAACAACCAGTTAAACTGCCATTGTGGTTCACGTGTTTTATAACCTCTCAGGATAGCTGAAGTTCTTGAAGGACTCCAGCATTCTGCAAGAACTTGTTACTTTTCCTTATCCATCATAAATACATTTTTCTAGATTGCTAAGGGGTGAATTGGGATTGGCTGAAAAGCTGTTCTTACTGGTAATTTAAGAGGTGATGCTGAACACGTATGAACAGCAAATGGCTGAGCTAGCTGCAAACCTGAACTAAAAGTAGGTTACGTATGTCAGCCCGCGTCCCTACCTAAACTGATTACTTCTGCTGAGAAATACTGGCTGAGGCGGCACTAATCCACGCTGAGCTCTGTTCTGGTGCTGTACCGATTTGTGTTGCAGTCCTGTGCGGAACTCCCGCGAGACCCTTGCAGGGTACCCTGCTGTGGCGAGCGGCTCACTTGGCTCACCCGCCGGCTCCCACAACACGGACTTGTAATGCAGTTCCCTGTATCACAAGGAGAGCCCTTTATAGTGTCAGTGCTTGCGTATGTACGCATAAAAGAAAAATTTCATGTACTTTAGACTATAAAGCTTTTTTTTATTTGCTTTCTTAATTTTATTCACGTATCTCACCTTTCAGAAAGTACAGAAATTCCATCTTACGTGACTAAATGTCCGAGCAACGGGCTTTGCAGTAGATTGCCACCAGACTGTATGACGTGTAACACAAACTATTCCTGTATATATGGGAAACCGGCCACTTTTGATTGCAAAGTCAAGCCACATGTTCATTGTCTTGTAAGTAACCTGTTATGTTTAAACCCAAATTTAAGTCATTTAATTAAATGGTCATAAAGTATAAGAAATTGATTTCCAGGTTCTTACATAGGCAGATCTGTGGTACATTTAATCCTCCACTGTAGGCTGTTGCTGTAGAGGCAGACCTACCCATCTCTGTTTTGCCTTTCTTGTGTTGGATCTTTTTGTTACACAGCCATGCAACTGAGTTAAATCCATTTGTTGACTAATCAAAACTACCATTTGGGGAGTGGGGGGGGCTAATTGTTAGAGGTACAAGCTGATCTTGCCCGTGAGACTGAACAAGTCCTTCTTTTGGCAGTAGCCTTAGATTGGAGGAAGCAGTAACGTGAAACTGGGCTTTAATAACTCTGGCTCAGTTTTCTAATGTTGATTTTTCTGTTGTACTTAACTACATAGAGGTAGCAAAAAGGGTAATTGTTATTTTGCCTAAAATGTCTATCCGTGAAATGTAATTTGATACTGCACGCTGTGATTTTTTTTTTAATTACTAGTGAAGTGATAACACTGTCTTTTGTAGGATCAGAATAACCAGGAGCAGGAGAACTTTACAATTAACATGACGTGCCAGTTTTGCTGGCAGCTTGCAACAACTGATTATGTATGTACCAATTCTACAAACTGCATGACAGTTTCTTGTCCGCGACAGCGATACAATGCCACTTGTACAGTACGGGACCATATTCATTGTCTGGGTAAGGTGGGCTAAAACAGCTTCTGTGAGCAAGCTTTATTCTAAATAATTTCTTAACATTTTTTCTAATGGGTCAATACAATGATTGCTTATGTCAGTTGCAGTAACAGCCTGCACCTTAATTAATCTATTGAAAGTCTTTATAGCCATGTTTTAATTTTAAAGCATAATAGTGACATCTAACTGTAAACATTGGCTTTTAATAGTGTTGTATACCTTCACACGAGATAAAGTAGTTCTGGTTTATTTTTGTCAATTTCTATGAATTAAACTAATTTGGACAGCACTAATAGAATCAATATCAAATGTCTCAGTGGGGTAATTTAAAAAATTCATGCTGGTTTCACCCGGCCAGTTTCATTTTCCCCCTGTTTGTTCAGTGACCTTGCATGCTTGCTGATGCAGGACAGAGATTGATAGGACAGAGGACTGTAGAGTATACATGAGCTTTTGCGTTGACAGTGTTTATTTCAATTAGTGCCAAACCTTTTAGACTCTTCTTGGAGAAATACAGTATCTTCTCGCTTGTAATTTTCTTACTCATTACGTGGTCTTTGTTATCTTAAGGTTTTTTTAATGTTTTCTAATGTTCAGGTAATCGTGTCTTTCCTAAGATGCTCTATTGCAACTGGACTGGAGGTTACAAGTGGTCTACTGCCTTGGCGCTGAGGTACGCAAGACCTGTTAGATAACGTCAAGCTAAAATAGCTAATATTAACAAATAGATTAATTGTCTTTAAAATCTTCAGTTTGTGCGGTTTTCTGCTTCATATTTTTTAATGGTGTACTGAATAACCAGTATTTCATATAGTCTGTCTTAGAATTTGGAGGCATAGGTTGCAGGAAGATTTCATACGTGAGGGTACCAGCTGTCTGCAGTAAACAGAGCTTGAAGGAAAACATTTACACTGTTTCTGCATCAGATGTTCTTCCTTCGGAGTAAATGTCCGTGATTCTTGCGCTTCCTGAAGTGATCCATTTTCTGAGTAGAGAGGACATGTTTGCGTCTATTCTGCAGAGTGTCAAATGACATACAAATGCTCAAAAAAATCTGCAGATTTATGTGTTTTTCTCCCAGTTTTTTTTTTATATGTTTTACACAATTAGGGCTGAAAATTATCCAAATTATTTCTTGGCATCTGAAATGAACGCAGCTGTTTCTGAATTGGATAGGTGTCCCTGAGCTGGCTATAGTTGGTTCTGCATTTGTTACGGCTTTCTTCCAACTGTAACAGCTACAAACACCTTAAGACAAAATTTCTTGCATTTGAAATTATTAGGGAAGAGTCCAGCGTAGCAGTATTGAAAGAAACAATTCAGGTTATTTTTGGAATATTAGGCCATTAGAGCACCACAATAGTGATTTGAAAATAACTGAAGTTCTCTCCATGGTAAGATGTTTTTTTTCATTAAACTTTAATATTTTAAAAGTGGTTAATAGGATAAATTAGGTAATGAGACTCTCTATTTCTGGAGCCAAAGATAAATAAGAGTGATTAAGAAAGCAATCTGACACACTTGCCTTTATAGCACGAGTTGTTTTCTCTGCTGCGAGCTGGAGAAACTTGCTGTTGCCTGACGACTGCACGGGGCCGAATTTAGAGTTTGGGCCTATTTCTGTAGCTTGTATGTTGGGGTTTTTTTTAGCTTCTGCTAGCTTAGAAAAGTCAAGATACATTTATCATTTTTATTTTTTTTATTGCTTGTCATGAATGAAAAACTGTCAAGTCTCTGGATAGTATTAGTTAGCTAAGAAATAGTGCTATTTCATCAAAAGCTTTCTCATTTAATAACCTAGTCAGCTCTTTTTGTACAAAAACGTATAGTTTCTTGAACGATGTCGAGCAAAACTATCATCAACTTGTAGGTATGTCAGAGAGAAGTGTGTATGGATACCGAAACCGAGTTAATCTAAAAATAATAATAGTGAATCATGTTTTTATTCTTACAGCATCACCCTTGGTGGATTTGGGGCCGATCGTTTCTATTTGGGCCAGTGGCGGGAAGGTCTGGGAAAACTCTTCAGCTTCGGTGGCCTTGGAATATGGACGCTGATTGACGTGCTGCTGATAGGTGTTGGCTATGTGGGACCTGCAGATGGGTCGCTCTATATTTAAATGTGGGTGCCACGTGTTTCGGAGAGGAGCAATTGCTTGGAAAGGGCTCTAAGTAAAAGAAGGTAGAGTTTGAGCCGTGAAGGTAGAATGAAGAACAACCGTTCTTTCTTTGTGCATATATTTTAATGTACAGTATCTGTACTTAGTTTGCCTTTAACTAAGGTAAAATAAAAGAGTGGATCACCGAGCAAGTTGAAATTCATTTGCTTTCTCCTGTGGACATGTTATTTTTCTATGAAAACGATTGCCTGGCTGACCTCATTCCGCACTGAGCTTGGACTTGGGTGTTCTGTCAAGCTCTGAAAGAGGTGCAAACTAACGAGTTGTTTACTTCGTATCGGTATGCTCGAGTTTAACTTTAAGGCTAACTTCCCTAAATACGTCAGTAATATGTTATATTTTTTGTATTTGTGGGAGGATAATTTATTTGCCTGAATTACTCTAGCTGTATGCTGATCGCCATCCTTTATGAGGTTACATTCATCTCTCTTTTGGGATATGGCAAGAGCTAATAATTGCTTAGTGACTTGCGGACTTAAAATTGTGGGGTTTTTAGAATTAGGCTGCAGTGACACGAAAGCTAAATACGGGACGACTGAAATAGATGTTAGCATTGTTCCAGCATGTCTTTATTTTGGTTGGCTTGGAAAGGCACAACTTGTATTCTTGTGCTAGCAAGCTTGCCAAGCTAATTTAAAAAAAGGGGTTGGCAGTGTAATCGGGGCGTTTCTCCGTTTATGACGTAGGAGGGTGACGCAGCGAAGCGGGGTGGGCGGCAGGGTGGCGGCGCGCTGGCTGGCCG